ACGCGTCTCAAGTTAAGATCTACGCGCTTGTTGGATTGAATGCTAGAGGCTCCTGTCACCAAACACTCGGGCGGCGGAGGGGTGGAGGGGGGTACCTCAAACCAGGTCCTGTGCTCTCTCGCAGTCTGGGACTCCTCGGGAGATAACTACCTGCTGGCTTAGGCCACTCCCGGGTGGCAGAGGGCAGGCCCAATCCCTAGGTGCAGCCCCTGGTGGGCTCAGAGCAGGGCCGATTGGGGAGTTGGAGCGCTGCCTCCTGTTCATGCACCAAGCAGGGCGGATTGGGGGGGTTGTGATGCCACCCAGTAACACTCAGGGTACGGCCGATTGGGGGGTTTGGGGCACCGCCCCCTGTCACACTCAAGGCAGGGTCGATGGGGAGGTTACGGCGCCACCCCCGTCACACACAAAGCAGGGCCGATCAGGGGGTTGGGGAGCTCCCCCCCTGTCACGCACAGAGTAGGGCCGATAGGGGAGTTGGGGCACTGCCCCCTGTCACACACAGAGCAGGGTGGATCAGGGGGTTGGAGCACTCCCCCCTGTCACACTCAGGGCAGGGCCAATGAGGAGATTGTGGCTCCACCCTGTCACACACAGAGCAGGACCCATGGGGGGGTTGAGGCGCCGCACCCTGTCACACACAGAGCAGGGCCGATCAGGGGTTTGGGGAGCTCCCCCCTATCAGGCACAGAGCAGGGCCGATCAGGGGTTTGGGGAGCTCCCCCCTATCAGGCACAGAGCAGGGCCGATCAGGGGGTTGGGGCGCCTTCCCCTGTCACGAACAGAGCAGGGCCGATCAGGGGGTTTGGCGCTGCCCCCTGTCACGCTGCTCCAGGGGCCAGGAGGCCTCGCTGCTCCGCTGATTCCGGTGCTGGGAGGCCTCGGGGCTCCACTTGACACCGGGGCAGGGAGGCCTCACGGCTCTGCTGATCCCAGTGCTGGGAGGCATATTACCCTTTTACTATATAGGATAGAGGCCTGGTGCATGAGTGAGGGCTGGCTGGTTTGCCCTGAAGGGTGTCCTGGACCAGGGTGGGGGTCCTGCTTGGGTGCCTGGCCAGCCTGGATGAGGGGATGATGGCTGTTTGCAGCTGGTCACACCCCCTTCAGGGTGGGAGTCCCCACTGGGGTGCCTGACCAGTCTGGGTGAGGGGCTGAGGGCCGTTTTCAGGCTGGAGGCGACTGAAGCTCCCAACCTCTCCTTTTTTTCTTTTTTTTTTATTCTGGGATTTATTTACCTTCTATGGCTGTCACTGGAGCTGAGAGCCAGCTTTAGCTCTGAGGCTCGGCTCCAACTCTGAGACCTCGGCTGCTGAAAGCAGGTATCTGGGTTTGTTTGGGTTCTATAATTGTAACACTGTTGGGGTCCTGCTCACTCCAGCTCTGACGGCTGAAAGCAGGTTTCTGGGGATTGTTTAGCTTCTATAATTGCAACATTGTTTCTTAGACTGCAGCTCAGAGGCCGGCAGTGGCAGGCGGGGAACCTTGGCTTCCTCCATCACTGCAGCAAGCAAGCCTCCTGTTCGCTTCAGCTGCCTGGCTGCCGGCCGCCATCTTGGTTGGAAGTTAATTTGCATATTTCACTGATTAGCCAATGGGAAGGGTAGCGAAGTTACGGTTAATTACCAAGTTTCTCTATTATTAGATAGGATTAGAATGGACTATATAGACAGTGGATAAGTATTCACACACATGCAACACATAAACACATACATATATGTATATATTTATGCATAATTTAAAAAATATTTTAACACTCAAATATCATTATCTAAAGGGATATGGTTGAATTTAGAAATAAAGTGAAAAAGTCAGAAGCTGGTGAGGGTCAACATATGCAGAAATGCATAAACTACGTGATATATA